ACCAAGTCCAAATTTTCCAACTACTGGTCCTTCCTCTTTGCTCCCTTCTTTTGCATTCCAATCACCAGTAATGAGCAATACATCTTGATTGCATTTTTGATCAGTTTCAGATTGAAGACGTTGGTAGAATTCTTCTATTTCATCTTCACTGGCTTTAGTGGTTGGTGCATAAATCTGAATAATAGTGGTATTAACTGGGCTTCCCTGTAGGCATATGGGGCATATGGATATTATCCTATCATGCTGTAGTGACTGTTTTTTTGTTTGTTTGTTTGTTTGTTTTTTAATTCCAAAGGGTAATCCTGATAGATTTTCTAAGTGGATATGATAAAATCATGGAGGCTTATTATGCAGAAGTTTTAAGAAATTGAAAACTGCAATGGTGAGAAAAGACTAAGAAAGTTACATTTGGGAATTTATTTCCATCGCAACAATTCACCTACTCATTTTTGAATTGTAGCTAGGGCTGTCCGATGAGAATTTCATTGGGAAAACTTACCCATCCACCCTACAATCTTGATCTTGTCTCTTTAGAATTCTTTTTGTTCCCAAAACTCAGTGTTTCAAAGGAACTTGATTTGAGTTCCTCGGGGATGCTAAAATGCCGTTTTGCTATGGTATAAACTGAAGAGCACAGAATACTTCGGGGAAGGGTTGGTATTTTTAGTAGGTGCTGTTAAGCCATTTCCAACTGACACAGAGACCCTACGCACAACAGAATGAAATACTACTCAGTCCTGCACCATCATCATAACTGTTGTTATGCTTGACCTCATTGTTGTTGCCACTTTGTCAGTTCATCTCATTGGGGTCTTCTTCTTTGCTCATCTTTGCCAAGCATGACATCCTTCCTCAGGAACTGGTCCTTCCTGACAACTTGTCCAAAGTACAAGAAATGAAGTCTCGCCATTCTCACTTTTAAGGAGCATTTTGGTTGTTATTTCTCCTATGACAAATTTGTTTGTTCTTCTGACAATCCATGATTCTTTTGACAATCCAATATTCTTCTCCAACACTGTAATTCAAATGCATTGAAATTTCTATGGTTTTTCTTAGTCACTGTCCAACTTTCACATACATATAAGATGACTGAAAATAACATGGCTTGGGTAAGATATATGTAAGTCCTCAAACTGACATCTCTGCTTTTCAACACTTTTTAAAAGAGGTCTTTATACATCGTTTGATTTCTTGACTGCTGCTTGATTGTGGATCCAGGTAAAATGAAGTCTTTGACAACTTAAATCTTTTCCTCATTAATCATGATGCTATTTACTGGTCCAGTTATAAGGATTTTTATTTTCTTAATACTGAGGTACAATCCATACTGAAGGCTATGATCATCAGTATTTTAACCCCTCTTTCCTTATTGGAACCAAGGTTGTATTATGTGCATATCACAGATTATTGAGTCTTCCTCCAATCCTGATGTCATGTTCTTGTTCAGATAACCCAGCTTTTTAGATTATATGCTCAGCGTAAGTATGGTAAAAGGATACAATCCTGACACACACCTTTGCTGATCTTAAACCACTCAGTATCCCCTTGTTCTGTTTGAATGTCTGCCTCTAGTTCAATGTACAGATTCTCATGAGCACAATTTAGTGTTCTGGAATTCCCAACCTTCACAATACGATCCACAGTTTGTTATGCAAATGATTAGAGAAATATAAACACTGCCTTCAGAAGTACACCTAAATGCAGAATATGTCAAGAAACAGTTTCATATTTTGATATTTTTATTTAATAAAGGTTTCTATGATTTTGTTAGCAATACTTATTGATTCGCCCTTGTATGAGATCACATGAATCTGTCTTTTTCATCTTTATCTTTCACATCACATTATACAAAAGCAGGTTCCCAGGTCATTAAAATTTTGGTAAATATTGTTTTACATTATTGCTTGGTGGAGGGATTTACAAGTTGGACTGCTAATTGCAAAGTCAGCAGTTTGAATCTACCAACTGCTCTGAAGAAGAAAGATAAGGGTTTCTCTAACCCTCTAAAGATTTACAACCTAGGAAACCCTATACAGGGTCACTATGAGTTAGAACCAACTCAACAGCACACCACCACATATTATAACTTATTCAACTTATTTGACAAGAATATTTTTTAAATCAGGCTACAATGAGTATCTCTTTGCAAAACTCGTTTAAATTTCTGATTACTTCTTAAGAAATAGTCACAAATAAAAACCCTAGGATAAGGAATTGTTGTTGTTGTTATGTGCCGTCGCGTCGGTTCCAACTCATAGTGACCCTGTATAGAGTTTCTGAGGCTGTAAATCTTTTACGGGAGCAGAAAGCCTCATCTTTCTCTTGTGGAACAGGTGGTAGTTTCGAACTGCTGACC